AGTTCTTAAAAGTTCCAAACGAAAATGTATATTAAGAGGTTCAGGGCTATGAGCCCAACCACAGCAAACACTTTTCTCCATGATCGTGACTTTGGTCGATGTGGTCCACATATGTTTTAAGATAACTGGGCCACATTTGCCATATCTTTGCCATATCATATCATTTGCCATGTCATATCTCTGGGCCACTTTAGGCTCACAGCCACATTAGCCAGAGCTACCTGTGCCAAATATTTGCCAAAAGTGGCCCACATTTGTTTTAGGATAACTGGGCCACATTTGCCATATCTTCTCTGGGCCACTATAGGCTCAAATCCAAATCAACCAGAGCTTACTGTGCTGAATATTTGCAAAAGTGGCCCCACATATGTTTTAGGATAATTGGGCCACATTTTCCATATCTTCTCTGGGCCACTAAAGGCTAACGGCTGCATTAGCCAGAGTTTACTGTGCCGAATATTTGTCAAAAGTGGCCCACATATGTCTTAAGGTAACGGGGCCACATTTGCACTTACATGTGTGAGCCACTTTAGGGTTAGACCCAGATTACCCTTGAAATGACTATGCCACTATTTTGCCAACTGTGGCTTACATTTGTTCTCTGTCATTTGGGCCAAATTTATCATTTTCCACATAGGCCACATTGGGCTCACATTCAGACTACATTTTGCCATAAGTGCCTAATCTTTGCCTTAAATGGCCCATATAATAATTAAAATGTTTGGCCCACCTTTTCCATTGTACAGGTGGGCCACTTCAGGCTCACATTCATTTTTTCTGGGCTGAAGGAATACAATCAGTGCCACATAACTGCCAAAAGTGGCCCACATTCGTATGCTATCTGGGAATAGCTACTTAGTGCAGTCTAAAAACATGTAAGCATCCCCATTTCCCTGTTTTCTATAAAACCAAAAACTGGAAATGGAGGGTGTATGATGTCATTAACATGATGAAGCAATGACACAATCTGTCTTAATACTCCCCTAGAGGTCTGGCATGAGCACTTGAGCAAAAAATCAGTCATGTAAAACTGCTGGACAATGAAAAGTCGTGGTTTTCTAAGTTGATACGGCTAGGAACTATTCCAGCTAATTCTACTCAATTCACCTATAGTGCATGTCTTTGGACTGTGGGGGAACTGGATCCATTTTTGTACAAGTTGCAACTTAAATAGGAAAATGATAGAAAATCTTTTTTGAATTTTTTTTTATCAACATGCTAACGGCCTAATACACGTCAATGATCTATGCTAAGCTAAAAGTGCTTTCGCCAGACCTGGTAGTTGTAAAATAAGCCTATTTTCAAAAAGAAATTGTGTGTTGCTTTAAAATAGTTGATTTCTTAGGGTTTTAACATCCTTCAAAACACTTAGGATAATGCAAGTACACAAGTCAGCAAATTACATAACACTGTCTGTTCTACTTGTTTTTAAATATTTTAAAGGTGCACTATGTAAATTTGACACCCGGTTAAACTATGTATTGCACTCCCCTGCAAAACAATCCAGCTTAAACCAGCCTAAGCTGGTTGGCTGGTTTTAGCTGGTCAACCAGGCTGGTTTAAGAGGGGTTTTGGCCACTTCCAGGCTGGTTTCCAGCCATTTCCAGCCTGGTCTTAGCTGGTCAGGCTGGCAGATGACCAGCTAAAACCAGCTTGACCAGCCTAGTCAAGCTGGGAGTCCAGCCAAAACTAGCTATATCCAGCTTAAACCAAGCTGGTCATTTTCCAGCCTGACCAGCTAAGACCAGGCTGGAAATGGCTGGAAACCAGCCTGGAAGTGGCCAAAACCCCTCTAAAACCAGCCTGGTCGACCAGCTAAAACCAGCCAACCAGCCTAGGCTGGTTTAAGCTGGATTTTTTCAGCAGGGTCCTGGTTTAAAACGAACTCAGGTTGCAGATTGAAAATATATAAAAGCAACGGCATCCGATAAAACTAATATTCTCCATATTAAAAGGAGTTTTTGTTCTGACCAACACCTCAAATTGATATATTAGAAACGGCTTCCATTTCTTGCAGCTGAACAACAGAAAACAACGACAACAATCATCTCAGGTAAACCTCATATACTTTATTCAGTATTCAATGCTAATAATGTGAGTTCAAATGCAATTTTCCGTGACATTTATTACTGAAAGCAGCAGCAGAACCTCAGATCTTAAAAACGACATAAACCCTTTTGAAATTGAACTTCAAAACTAAACACAAGTGATTCAGCATGTACATTTAATAATGTTAAAGAGGATTAATGTGTATTAAATAGGTTATAAACATTACCATTTCGTGAGTGAGTGCATATTCTGTGCTTCTGAAGGGCTGTATTTAAATTCCTGTCATGTTTCGTCTGGTGCAAACAGCTAAATTGCTTATCAACGCATATCTCATCACAAAGCGTGTTGTTAGGACACAGTGTTACAATGTAACCTGCTCACCAAATGTTTGCGTTGGTAATATTTATAATTTGCTAAGTAAAACCTCATCATGTGGAATTCTGAATCTGGGTGTCATTGCGGAGTCTGCTACTGTCCACCAGAGGTCGCATTCGGTCACAGGCGCATGCTTAGAAAGCCTTTTTGAATGAATAAATGAAATACACGGTTTTCCACCAAGGCAACCCGGAGTTCTGAAATATATAATTGGCTAAACTGACAATGTGGGGTTGGGATGGGGGGGTGTATTAATATTACCAAAACAAAGAGTGTTCCGCCATGGAAAACAAAGCAGAATATCTGACTTTAGCATTGTTTTTCAGATAAACAAGTATGTTCACTTGGCATGTTTCTTAAATATCTGCACACATATTATCGGATTTTATGCTTTAGAAGAGTCAAAAACTTACATACAGCACCTTTAATGAAAAAATGTTACACATCATGCCTTTAATAAACACTTACCTGACTCAAGAAAAGGGAAAGAAAAAGTGTCTATCAAAACCATTGAAGTAAAGGACAAACAAAGAGCAGTGGCAAGATGATCTTAATACATACAGACAGCATGTTTTCCCTCAAGTCCCCCATATTCTGCTTGTCTTCTGTGAAAACCCTCCAAAGCAATTCATTTGTCAAAACTCCACCACGTGTGGCATTGATTTTCTGCTACCTTACATTTACCGCGGCTCTCCACATTGACAGATTTAACGTAATTAAAATGGAAACACTGTGAAGCTTTCCTGCACGCAGTCAAGTGTGTAAACCAGGGTGAGGTTTGATGAAATGCTGTGATTATCAGCATCAGTTCATCTTCTTAAGGAGCTGCATGGACTCCTAAAACAACAGCTGACTGCAGCGCATGTGTGAAGCCTTGCTGATAGTGCTAAACGGGAACAGCAGATCGTCAATAACTTCAGATCGCCCATTACATCTTACACATTCTAGCGGCGGATACTTCAGCACTGCATCACCCTGTCGAAAATTAACACCAGGCAATCCATCACTCTAAAAGAGAAAGATACACGCAGGTTAAATATACACAGATCATGCAGATCAGGAGTGAGTCTCTTTGCATATACAGTGCTCAACATAAACGAATACACCCCATTTTGAAAATGAATATTTTTATTTTCTATTTCTCAGTGAATATGGATGGTAAACACTCACCGGACACTTTATTAGGTACACCCTTACTAATAGCGTATTGGACCCACTTTTGCCTTCAGAACAGCCTTAATCCTTCGTGGCATAGATTCAACAACTGGAAATATTCCTCAGAGATTTTGGTCCATAGTGACATGATAGCATCACGCTTTGTCGGCTGCACATCCATGATGCAAATCTCCCATTCCACCATGTCCAATTGTGTTCTTTTGGATTGAGATCTGGTGATTTAGGAGGCCATTTGAGTACAGTGAACTCATTGTCATGTTCAAGAAATGACATGGTGCGTTATCCTGCTGGAAGTAGCCTTCAGAAGATGGGTCCACTGTGGTCATAAAGTGATAGATATGGTCAGCAACATTATTCAGGTAGGCTGTGGCGTTGACACTGTGCTTAAATTGTGCTAATGGGTTCGAAGTGTGCCAAAAAAATATCCCCCACACCATTACACCACCACCTGCAGCCTGAACCATTGATACAAGGCAGGATGGATCCATGCTTTCATGTTGTTGATGCCAGATTTTGACCCTACAATCCGAATGTCGCAGCAGAAACCGAGACTCGTCAGACCAGGCAATGTTTGCAATTTTGGTGAGCGAATTGTAGCTTAAACCAGTCTGAGGAGTCCATTCTCTTCTGACATCTGGCATCATCAAAAAATTTGCGCCCACAGATCTGCCGCTCACTGGATATTTTCTCTATTTTGGACCATTTTATGTAAATTCCAGAGATGGTTGTGCATGAAAATCCCAGTAGATCAGCAGTTTCTGAAATATTCAGACCAGCCCGTCTGGCACCAACAACCGTGCCACATTCAAAGCCACTTAAATAACCTTTCTTCCCCATTCTGATGCTCAGTTTGAACTGCAGCAGATCGTCTTGACCATGTCTACATGCTTAAATGCATTGAGTTGCTGCCATGTGATTGGCTGATAAGAAATTTGCGTTAACGAGCAGTTGGACAGGTGTACCTAATAAAGTGGCTACTTAGTGTATTTTGGTCCATTTGATCTACATACATTTGTTAAAGGGATATTTATTAAAATAATATTTTAGTAACCAGACATTTTTAGAAATTGAAAGAAAATACATTCAAAGAAGTCGTGCAAAATATTGGAAAAAAATATATAAATTTAAAATTAAATTTAAAAAAAATATTTTTTCCAAACATATAAATTTGGGCTACTAATTTTGGGCCGTTATCATAAGACATTTTGTTAGATTAGTTCCAGATTTGGCTTCAGTGACTAATCTATTGCATTTGCATAAATAGAATATTGTAAATCTTCCTATAGAAAATATTAATTTAAGCAAGAGATTTGTGAGGGGTTTACTTATACATGTTGAGCACTTAATATCAGCAATCCAAATAAACATTTTTTAAGCGCTATACAAAATGATTCCACTAGTTTTTAAAATCACAGTATTTATTTACAAATGCGGTGAAATATAATGGACATGTATGCATGTGCTATATAAAAGTTGTAAATATCAAACAAAGATCACAATATACTGTCAAACATACAATTATTAGCAAATACAGTCTGTTGGAGATGTGTTATTTGGAGTTGAGACATTTAAAGGGATAGTTCACACAAAGATATCACCAAAAACTGAATATTCTCTCATGAATTACTCTCCTTCGTGTCAAACCCCTGAGATCTTCGTTCATCTTCAGAACACAAACCAAGACATTTTAGATGAAATCAGAGAGCTCTCTCGTCCTCTATAAACAGGAAAAGTCTAAAAAACAAGCTTAAAATATTGTCAAAATATTCCATGTGACTTTAATTATAATCATATGAAGCTCCAAAAAGGTGGCCCAGTGATTAGCATTGTCGCCTCACAGCAAGGAGATCAGTGGTTCGAGTCCCAGCTAGGTCAGTTGGCATTTCTGTGTGGAGTTTGCATGTCCTCGTGTTGGCATGGGTTTCCCTCACAGTCCAAACACATGTACTATAGGTAATTGGATTAACTAAATTGGCCGTAGTGTATGAATATAAGAGTGTATGCGTGTTTCCCAGTACTAGGGTGCTGCTGGAAGGGCATCCGCTGCACAAGACAAGTTGGTGGTTCATTCCGCTGTGGCGACCCCTGATGAATAAAGGGACTAAGCTAAAGGAAAATGAATGAATGAATAAGTTTCAGCAGAAAAACAAAACTCATAAAGGTTTGAGGATGAGTAAACAGTGAGTAAAAAAAAATTTTTGGTTGAACTATCACTTTAAAGCAATAACAGGACATAAATGAACGCGTTATATAGACTAGGATATTATAATAATACAATGTACCGATACACAACAACTTAATCCACCAAGAATACCGTACTTACACAAACACAATCTAAAAAAAAGATAAATGAGAGTAATACAGTAGATCCTTTTGAACATTAAAGTCAATAGGTCGTCTGATATATTCCCATTACTGATACTGGCATCACTTAAAATGCAAAAGATCCCGATGCAGGTCAAAGGTCAATCAAAGGGAAAATCTCAATTGGGACCTGACACAGAAAGGTCAACGTTCAGTCTTGAGTCTTTGTATATATGCATTCAGGAAGCATGATGTAGAAGTCATGCCCATATACATTATGTAGTGTTCATAGTTATTGTCTTTAGTAAGGATAGTGTTTCTGCTTCTTCCCTGCGAAACACGCCATCCACGTGCACAAAACCATGGCCGCCGCTGCTCCAGCCCCGGTGCAGTAATAAGCCCATCCGATCTCACAAGAACCTGAAGAAATATAAAATGGATAATTAGGACTTATTCATTATGTTCACATAACATAATATGCAATACTCAATATATGTGTTTTTATATAGTTTAAATGAAGCCAGTACATTATTACCAACAATCATCTGTACTTAAAAAGATGGCAAACATACTTTAAACAAAACTATTAAAGAGGTGCTCTACTACGATATATTTCAAACTTTAGCTGATGTGTAATGTAGCTGTGTGGACATAAACAACATCTCTGAATGTGATACGCTCAAAGTTCAATCCAAAGGGAGACATTGGCTTTTACAGAGTTAGCTTAGCAAAGCCTGCAGCGAACAAATTTTGGGGACTACAAAAAAATACATCCGGGTTAGTGAGATCACACATGCTTTAGGTTACATGCATTCACCCCACGCATACACAAAAAGCGCAGCGAAGGGGCGTGGCCAGAGGCGCTGTAATGTTATAGCAGAGAAAGCTAAAATGCCGTCCAAATGCTGCTTTTCCACAGAGCTTCCTCTGTTTCTGTATTTGGGCTTCCGAAGGACACGACACAAAGAGAGAAGTGCTTAAAGATTAATTTAATTTATGTTCCAGAGAATTATAAAAAATATATAGCTAGCATTTGACAAAGGACAGCTTCCAAAATTTGATATTGTAGTGGACCACCCTTTAAAAAAAAAACTACAACAAACTTAATGAATGCACAACAGTCTGTCCAGGTCAGTGTCCTCTCCGTATATGGTCTGTGTTATATACATGGAGAAAAATTGAACAAATGTTATTGTAATGCTGCCTTCGCACCAGACGCCAAAGAAGCGTCAAGCGCGAGTGATTTACATGTTAAGTCAATGCAAAGACGTGAATAGACGCGATACGCACAAGTGAGGTGGCGCGAGTTGAGCATTTTGTGAGACTGAAGCACTTAATGCACGTATCGCATATAACATGCCGCGTTAATCAATAAGGAGCTTGCTCTTGTGGGGGCGTGATTGTGACGTAGTGCCTGTTGTTGGTTTCCCAGAGGGAAAATCCTACTTCCGACACCAACAACAGTTCATCAAACTGGGCTCGGCTCAGTCAGAAGCACCGCGGAAAGCCTCCATCATCCAGGTATAGTTTCTAGAGGAGTAAACTCAAATTGTTCATGCGTCTATTTACGCGCAAATATCGTGATTTATCCATGCTCTCCACATCTGGTGTGAACAGAGCATAAGGAAGATAATTAAACTGTATTGGTAAATGGAGTCAAAACTGATTTTTGTTAAAAATTTTACTGAGATGGACAGTTCGAGATATGGTGCAGTGGTTGAAAGAGTACTGAAAAATCATACTATCAACATCAAAAGTAAAAGTACCATTACTTGCCTAAAAATGTAGTGCAAGTAGAGTAAAAGTATCTGTTGTAAATATTACTCAAAGTATGAGTAAAATGTAGTCCTTTCAAAAGTACTCAAGAGTAGTGAGTAGTATTACGCTGTGAAAAGCTGGTGCATTTACATGCAGATTGTGCAGGGATGTGTAAACGTAACATTCTGTAGTGCATTTAGTGATCGTACTATATTCGTTCATTCCTTCCAGCCTTCCTTACATTGTTTGCTTGTTCTGTCCTTCCTCCCTTCATTCATTCGCTCGTTCAGATTTTTCTTTTTTCTGTCATTAGGTTCTCTGTTCATACATTCATTCATTTAATCGTTCCTTCCTTCCTTAGTTTGTTCACTTCTTCCTTCATTCATTCAGTCCTTCCTTTGTTCCTCCCTTCATTCATTCGCTCATTTATTTGTTCGTTCATATTTTGTACCTTCCTTCATTAGGTCCTTTGTTCATTCAATTATTCGTTTAAGTCAAGTCCTTTCTGGAATCCTTCTTTCATTCAATTGGTCCTTCCTTCTTTCAATAGTTTAGCCCTTCCTTCATTCGGTCCTTCCTGCCACTCTTCATTCTATGCTTCCAAAAGGTGTCCATGTCATGAGTTTGTTCAGTATGATTTGATTGACTTTCTATGTGCGATTTGATAAGACAGAAATCGCAGGAATGACTTTTCTACTTTAGCCAATCACCATAGACAAGAAATAAATTAAGTAATGACAGGTTGAAGGAAAGAAGTAGAGTAAAAAGTACCAATACTGCACTAAACATTTACTCAAGGGAAAGTAAAAGTGCACATTTTTTAAAAACTACTTAGTAAATTACAATTCCTGAGAAAAACGACTCAATTATAGTAGTTGGAGAATTTACAATTTGTTACTTTACATCACAGATAGGGTGTTGGCCTGATTAAATAGCTTAACATGGACATAGGAAAATAATGAACCATTTAAAATTATTTTTGGACCTACAATATAATATTTCAGCGGATCTTAGAATTTTTTCAAAGCCTAAAAGTTTGTTTTTTAAAATTTAAGACATTTTAAAACTATATAGGACTTTGTGAACCCCCTGTTTACTGGTAAAATGTGGCACAAATGTTTAACAATGGCATTTTGAAAGTGTTTTTTTTTTTGCCATATATCAGTTATAGCTAGGTGTAATATATTCTGAACATATATACCAAACATACCAAGATCAAACTGGTCAGAACTGTTGCTGCAAGTCTGTCTGACCTCTTCACTGTCCCAGCCTAAAGGGTACAGGGCACATCCAGACCCGATCAGCAGCCCTGCAGACACACAAATCACACACATCGTGAATACAAACACACCCAAGAGAAACTTTAAAACAAGACTGAAAGACCTCTCCAATCGCTACGAGGAGAAGAGTGTGATATCTCCTGAACAATAGACCACAGGCATTAAAAACAGCACTTCATGCATTTTGTCACTAGTCTGAAAAGCTATTATTTGTTTTACTGCAAACAACGCTGGGATCATTAACTCGTTTTTTTTTTTTATTTGACACAGATACTCGATCACACGCTAACCCAAACTCACACCTCCGCAGAGACAGAGAAGCACAAATCTAGTGCTTCATCAGGACTCAAGATCCAAACAGCCATGAAAATATGATAATGAATGCAGCAAGTAGCTTATTTATAAACAAGCTTCTTGGGAATTCTTTCACATTTCTCCTTTTATGTTCTTACCAATTCAGCAAAAATAAACAGGCATGTAATTCCCACCAGAAACACATAAAGCTGTAGGTTCAATACGGCTCCTCCTCCAGTGCGCTCTAAATCTTTTCCAGAACGTTTCCTAATAAAATGAACAGTAAACCATGAGCCTTCGCTCACCCTGATGCTCATAGCTCATTTTATTATATATCTTTTTAATTTGTGCATTCAAAGAAACACATTTTAACTGTTTAGTGGTAAGGGATCATGTTGGAAAATAATTTATACAATATTATGTAGTTTACACTCACCGGCCACTTTATTAGGTACACATGTCCAACTGCTTGTTAAAACAAATTTCTAATTAGTTTTTGATTTGCTGCAGTTCAAACCGAGCATCAGAAGGGGGGAAAAAGGTGATTTAAGTGACTTTGAATGTGGAATGGTTGTTGGTGATCTTCTGATGATCTATCCAGCAGGATAACGCACCATGAAGTCATGAATCATAACACACTGGTTTCTTAAACATGACAATAAGTTCAATGTACTTAAATTCTCTATTTTCACCTGGGGATACTCATCCCGAGGTCCTCAGATTAGGCGGAGTCACTGATTGGATCCAAGACCAGCGACGTGATGATCCCAAGGATTCCATATCCGGGACCAGGCCATATCCTGAGCTGCTGCTGCGCTGATGGTCGTGGGGAGTGGAGAACATGTGTCTGATTCCAGCAATGCTCCAGGGACAGACGAGTCTTCATTGAGGCCATCTTCCAGCATAAACCACGGCGAATGAAGTTCTGCACAAGACTTTTGGCCAGCGGAGAAATTAAAATGGTCGTGCCCAACTGAGTCTGGTTCTCTCAAGGTTTTTTTTCTTCACTCCCATCAGGTGAAGTTTTTTTTTCCCTCTCCGCTGTCGCCACTGCCTCGCATGGTTCAGGATTGGTAGAGCTGCGCATCGATGAATTTGCTCTTCAGTGTTTGAACTCTCAGTAATGATTAAATCACACTGAACTGAGCTAAACTGAACTGAACTGAACTTAAACACTAAAACCTGAACCACACTGTTCCAGTTACTATGACCATTTATGTGAAGCTGCTTTGACACAATCTACATTGTAAAAGCGCTATACAAATAAAGCTGAATTGAATTGAATTGAAATGGCCTCCACAGTAATCAGATCTCAATCCAATAGAACACCTTCGGGATGCGGTGGAAACAGAGACTCGCATCATTAATGTGCAGCAGACAAATCTGCAGCAACTGCGTGATGCTACCATGTCATTATGGATCAACATCTCTGAGGAATATTTCCAGTAGCTTGTTAAATCTATGCCACAAAGGATTAAGGCAGTTCTGAGGGCAAAAGTGGGTCCAACCTGGTACTAGTAAGGCATTCCTAACCACTTCACCTCACTGCAGCACCCATCACAGTTACAAATGACCTGCTCTTATCGTCTGAATGTGGTTGCATCTCTCTTTTAGTGTTGTTGGACCTCAGTGTTGCATTTGATACTGTTGCTTATTATATTCTCCTAGATGTACTTGAAAATGATATTGGTAATACTGAAAGTTGGTTCAGGTCTTACTTATAGGAACGTTCTCATTTTGCATCAGTTAATGAAGAGGCATAATACATATCAAAAGTACACTCTGGGGTACAACAAGGCTCAGTTCTTGGTCTCTTGTTTTTTTTTCTTCATTATATATACTTTGGCTAGGCAATATAACATAAACATCCTTTCACTGTTATGTTAACAATACCTAACTGCATCCCCTCAAAATATGAGAATATATGGCTGATGACAGTGTATAGCACTGTCACCTTACAACAAGGTTGCTGGTTCGAGTCCCGGCTGGGTCAGATGACATTTCTGTGAGGAGTTTGCGTGTTCAAGTTGGTTTCCTTAAGATGCTCCGGTATTACCCACAGTCCAAAGACATGCACAATAGGTGAATTGGATAAACAAAATTGTCTGATTGTCTGTAGTGTATGAGTGCATGTGTGAATGCCAGAGTGTTTGGGTTTCTCAGTACTTGGTTGTGGCTGGAAGGGCATCCGCTTATTAAAATATATCCTGGAATGGTTGGCGGTTCATTCCACTGAGGCGACCAATAATAAATGGACCAACAAAAACTTTCAAGGAAATACCTAGAATGCTGCCCTTGATGGATGTTCAGTTCAGTCCTCCACAACTGTCAAGAATTTGGGGTTACATTTTGATAGCAACCTGCAATTTGAAGGCCACATTTCAAGCATAGATAAAACAATGTCTTTATATCCTAATGATTTTGAGCAGTTCACTCATGTGCTTCGAAATGTTTTTACACTACTTAGTTTGTCCACAAGATGTCAACATTACACCAGACCATTGTTTACAAAAAGAGGTAGAAAGAACCGCAAGAAAGCACTGAAGATGGCAAAAACAATAAAGCATTTGCATTTACACTCCTATCTTTACTGGAGAGAATTTGTGTGTGTGTGTGTGTGTGTGTGTGTGTGTGTGTGTGTGTGTCTCTCTCTTTGGGGCCTATTCTCTATTCTTTGTCTCTCTCTCCTTCTGTCTCTCTCCCTCCATTTCTCTTTCAGGTAGCTTTAGTTACATTTAAGCTGGGTACAATTAAAATCATTTGTGTTTTATCATTTCATATTTGATCATTTTATACAATTATTTTGTAACTAATTCAGTTGTCACCATCACAAGTTATTGTCATTAAATAAGTTCATTTTCAAGTATTTGTAAATTACTTTGGATTTAACTTCATAAATCAAACTTAACTTTTGAACACTTGCCCGATATTGCAATACAATACAACCAAACTAATATGCATTAAAAGAAGACATATTATGCAAAAATATGGTCAGATGAGTCTCGATTTCTCGATGGTGTGGGGGATGTTTTCTTGCCACACTTTGAGCCCATTAGTACCAACTGAGCATCGTGTCAACACCACAGCTTACCTGAGCATTGTTGCTGACCATATCTATCACTTTATGAACACAGTGTACCTGTCTTCTGATGGCTACTTCCAGCAGGATAACGCACCATGTCATAAAGTGTGAATCATCTCAGACTGCTTTCTTGACCATGACAATGAGTTCACTGTACTGAAATGGCCTCCCCAGTCACCAGAACTTAATCCAATAGAGCACCTTTGGGATGTCAATATGGACCAAAATCTCAGATAAATATTTCCAGGACCTTGTTGAATCTATCCCACGAAGAATTAAGGCAAAAGGGGGTCATACCCGGTACTAGTAATGTGTACCTAATAAACTGGCCGGTGAGTGTACTTTGGCCAAGCAATATCACAACAAAAACATGCTTCCTCTGTTACGCCAACAATATCCAACCGTATCTCCTCAAAATACAACACTTAATTGATCTCCCACATTTTTAGCTACCAATGCTGCCCTTATTTCCGTTTAAGATTGCAGAAGGATGGTTTGACTAGGAATGTACAGTTTTTCACCATCATACTGATCGCTTTTTAGTCATTCGGCAGAACTTAAGTTCAAACTGCTGTAGTTAAAATCCCATTCTTGCATGTGCATATGCTGAGCGCTTGAGTTTGTGCACACTATCAAACAGAGTAAGCTTTGAAAAGCATTCAACTGCACGTACACAAAAGCAAGTACACTAAGTATACTTTTGAACTTAAGTAAATACCTGAATATAGAGTCAACTATCTGTCTAACAGTGTGAATGGAACACATATTTAACAGCTAGAGCGTCTGTCCTGTAATGTTTGCTTCTCTTTGTGTCTGGTTACAAATGATGGGTGTGTGATCATCTCAAGTTGTCTGTGCCCGAGTAGCTGTTGTCTGCGATAATGAAAGGGCAGAGAAGCGAACACAAAGAACACTCCCACACCAGCTAAAAGCCCAGTAACAACGTTTATTTTGGAATAAAGCGCTTTCATTTGTACTCATACTTTGATGTGATGGATATTCTTTGATATATTAAAACCCAGATTCAGGCATTAGTATCCCAGTATTGTAGAAACCGCTCTTTGCCAGACTTACAAAAGAAAAAAAAAAAACATTCTTTGTCTTTAAAATTCTCCAAATGCCTCCTTTTCCCTCCACCCATTCAAGCAGGCCTGAAAATCCATTACTTTGAGTCAGGCACTTATAAAAATGACATTCAGAGTTGCAAAAGACTGCAAAGGAATACAGAGAGGGGAAATAAGCTTTTAGGTGATTTCATATTTTTCAGCGGGAATCACAGGAACTATGAATAAGTAATCGATAAGCTGATATCGGGCCAGATATTATGTGCATGAAGAATTAAGCTTTTACATATTGCACATTTCAGCCTGGTTTCTAAAGTTGCGAGTACAGCAGTTCTCCTTGACCAAGACAAAAATGGACCGTCGCAGTGCTGTGAAACGAGGAGGTCCTTTCGTCACAGAAAAGGTGAGGAAAAATTGACAGTGATAAAGTGAATACGAGGGACGGAGAGCTGCACACACTCACTCTGAAAAATGCAGCTTGTTGGCCTACAGTGGGCTTCTGGCAGTATGTGGCTCTGGCTTTTCAGCTGTGTTAATTCTATAGTTTAGTGAAAGTTTAGAAAAAGTATGAAGTGTACTTTCAGCATAT